GGACCACCACCCCGGTCTGCCAATCCAGGGGAACTTCCCCCGATGTCCACGCAATATTGCAGAGTCGCGTAAGCCAACACAACCCTACAACATCCAGAGCCTTAAGGAACTCTGGGCGAATCTCATCCACCTCCGGGGCCCTGCCACCAAGGAGCTTTTTAACCACCTCGGTGACCTCAGCACCAGAGATTGGAGGGCCCGACCCAGAGTCCCCAGGCTCCGCTTCCTCAGTGGAAGACGTGCCGGTGGGATTGAGGAGGTCTTCAAAGTATTCCGCCCACCGACCCACAACATCCCGAGTTGAGGTCAGCAGCACACCACTCCCACTATAAACAGTGTTGGTGGCGTACTGCTTCCCCCCCCCCAAGACGCCGGATAGTGGACCAGAATTGCCTCAAAGCTGTGCGGAAGTCGTTCTCCATGGCCTCTCCGAACTCCTCCCATGCCCGAGTTTTTGCCTCAGCAACCACCTGAGCCGCATGTCGCTTGGACTGCCGGTACCCATCAGCTGCTTCCGGGGTCCCACAGGCCAAAAAGGCACGATAGGACTCCTTCTTCATCCTGACAGCATCCCTCACCGACGGTGTCCACCATCGGGTTCGAGGGTTGCCGCCGCGACAGGCACCGACAACCTTGCGGCCGCAGCTCTGGTAAGCCGCCTCGACAAGAGAGACACGAAACATGGTCCACTCAGACTCAATGTCCCCCACCTCCCTTTGAACATGTTCAAAGTTCTCCCGGAAGTGGGAGTTGAAACTCCGTCTCACAGGAGACTCTGCCAGATGTTCCCAGCAAACCCTCACAATACGTTTGGGTCTGCCAGGTCTGACCGGCATCCTCCCCCACCATCGGAGCCAACTCACCACCAAGTAGTGATCAGTTGACAGCTCCGCCCCGCTCTTCACACGAGTGTCCAAGACATGTGGCCGCAGATCAGATGAGACGATGACAAAGTCGATCATCGAACTGCGGCCTAGGGTGTCCTGGTGCCAAGAGCACATATGGACACCCTTATGCTTGAACAAGGTGTTCGTTATTGACAATCCATGACGAGCACAGAAGTCCAACAACAGAACACCACTCTGGTTCAGATCAGGGGGGCCGTTCCTCCCAACCACACCCCTCCAGGTCTCACTGTCATTGCCCACATGAGCATTGAAGTCCCCCAGCAGAACAAGGGAGTCCCCAGGAGGTGCACTTTCCTGTACCCCCTCCAAGGACTCCAGAAAGGGTGGATAATCTGAACTGCCGTTTGGTGCATAAGCACAAATGACAGTCAGAACCCGTCCCCCCACACATAGGCGGAGGGAGGCCACCCTCTCATTCACTGGGGTGAACCCCAACACACAGGCACCAAGTTGGGGGGCAATAAGTACGCCCACGCCTGCTCGGCGCCTCTCACCAGGGGCAACTCCAGAGTGGAAGAGTGTCCAGCCCCTCTCAAGGAAACTGGTTCCAGAGCCCGAGCCATGCGTAGAGGTGAGTCCGACTATTTCTAGCCGGAACCTCTCAGCCTCACACACCAGCTCAGGCTCCTTCCCCACCAGTGAGGTGACATTCCACGTCCCAATAGCCAGCTTCTGTAGCTGAGGATCAGACCGCCAGGGTCCCTGCCCTCGGCCACCACCCATCCCACATTGCACCCGACCCCTTTGGCCCCTCCCACAGGTGGTGAGCCCATGGGAAGGGTGGAGGGGTGGGTTTGGTAATCAGCTGGATTGGTTCCAGACTTCTGCATGTTCAAATTTAGCTTCAGCAAATAGCTCCCCACTACTAAACAGTTCCAAAGAAAAGTCAGCTAGGTCCAAATGGTCAAAATGTTCTGTTGTGTAAGATGTAGTGAAAAGGACCCAACATGCAAACTTGAAGTGGTTTTATGAGCATCACCAAATATTTAAGGCATGGACTGATGGGGAGAAAACATCACTGACAAGAACTTAACACAACGTTCTGAATAAAATGTTTACCAGGCAAACAAGCCTCAAGTAGAAAAACTTCAAAGTTCTAACACATTACAAGAAACCAAAGATAAGTTCAAAACTTTTAAGCAGAGAATTAACCTAATAGTCTGACAATGATCCACCCTCCTGAAACACACTTGTTTTTCAGCCTGTCCATGCACTTCTGTTCTAAAACAATAAAGATAAGATAGAAGAACATCCTGTTGACGTTGGTTTGCTTCATCAGTGAGCAAAGTGATATTGTGAAAGAGACAGAGAGAGTTTGCCTTTTAATAAAAGTTAATTTAGTTTCCCTTTTAATTTATGAGCCATGTGATTTACAATAAGACACCCTCAACACTTTCTGTTTCTATTTGAGTCAAAGAACGTTATGGCACATTCAGACATGCAATATAAAAACATTTTATTCATTTATAGTTGTTAAGGAACAGTGGCATGTATTATAGTGTGCCTATGTGATCTTGGTGTCTTTAGATTTGTTTTTAGGTAATTACCTTGTTATTCCTGGGTATTTATTTCTATTTACTATATATTTAATTAAAAAAAAAAAAAACTTACTTCTAATTTTATTATTAATTTTTTTTTTTTTACGTGAATCTTTGTAACAAAGCACTCACTTTTCTTCAGCAGCTATTCATGATGTTTGTCTCCCTGGACATGGGTGGTGCAGTTTTCATAAACCAGGAATTTGTCTAATACTGAAAGTGAAAGTTTGAGTTTCTCAAGAGCCACTTGTTCCTTTGCAGCAACGTCAGTGTTTCTATTTGCAGCAGTGCTACAGCCAGGGTAGGTGCAGGGACAGTTTTTTACATTTATGAAGAAAATACTCTTTGCATGTTATATTTAACAAAATTTTCATTTGCATGAACAGTTTTCTGAATATTTACAGCAAATGTCTGAACTGTAGACTCTTTTTAATTATTTAAATGGTTGTGTGTCCAGCCTTTTACTTTAAGGATAAATAACTGAAAATGTACAACAAAGTAATGCACAGATTAAAGTAGAACACTAAATTATTTTTGTTTTTTTAATATTCAGATTTTTTTTTGTTCTTGACATCGTCACATGTACTTTCTGTCTCCTATATACATTATGCAAAACAATCAGGCGTTGTATAAAAAAGGACTTCAAAGTGTGGTTTTATTTTCTCCAAAAGCCAAAAATATATTCTACCTGATCTGATTACTGTTAATTGGTTGTGTTAATACTTTTCAGAAGCTACTATTATTAATAAAATAGACAAATAAACTAACAAAAAAGTGTTCTCACCAAAGCACAAAACATCCAACACTGTGAATGATTTTCAAAATAAGACATTTTTTACATCAGGATTTAGTGTTTGAAGGAAAGTCTTGATAAATATTTGTTCAAGCTGCATATCAGTTTTCTTTTATCTTTTCATGTAAAAGGAAAATACTATAATTGTTTTGCTTCTCTCTTTAGGACTAAAGATGTGCATCCAACCTATAGGTGAGTGAGGATCTGTCTATAGATACCAGATGTGGTCATTTTTCTGCTCTTTTAATATTTTGTGTTATGTTTGTCAAACACAGTTAAGGTCTACACAGTGACATCAGGGGAAACCTTTGGGGCTGATCAAGTTATTCTAAGACGACTATCAGCAAGCTTTCAGTTGATACAAACCAGCCAGGACGAAAGTGATATCATCATCCTTTTTTGTCCAATCTTCTCTCGTGTCGGGGCAGATGTGGAAGCAGCCATCAGTATGGTGTCAGGTAAAGTGTATTGATAAACTGTAAAGTTCAACTAATTTAGGACAATAATGTTCATACTAATTCATTGTGATCCTGTGGATGATGCTCTAGGACTAGTTTTAAATTTAGTCCTACATTCATATAATGGGTAGGCCTGTCACAATAAATTTTTCTGGGTGATTAAATGTCTCAAAAATTATTGCAATAAACGATAATATTGTTTGAAATTTGACAATAATTAGTCATTATTGTAAAATTTAAGAAGAAATATTGGTTAATTTTTGTGTGTAGTACATTTTTTGACCACTGGATGGCAGTACAAGACTATTTGAACCAAAGGATGGATAGTGAGGGAGCGAGCAGCGTCTCTTTAAGAAAAATGGGAGGGAGGCCTCTTGACATGACATGGGCTGTCTAATCTTTTTTTTTTCAGTTCTCAAAATGGTGGCTGCTCGGTGTGGTTTGAGCTCTTTAGCAAAGCACTTTTCACACAAAGCTTTTAATAAAAAAATCAGTAAACAAGTTCTCAGCTTCTTTTTACAGAGAAAAAAACTTTTTACACGAAGACACGAGTTTCAACCGTGAATTTTGGAGCTCTGACAAGACGAAGGTTTTTTTCCCCGAGGTCAGCCTATTAGCTTAGCTTCTAGCTTAGCTTCTCAGCTTAGCTGCTTTTAACGATCCAAAATCGTAATTCTGGACAATTAAAACACATTTTAAAGAGAAAGGGAGGGGTCAGTGAAGAGCGCCAGAGTTGAGCCTTTTGTCATCCAGTGTCCAGTAGAACGAGAGAGAGAGACACAAAGAAACAATAAAGCCGATAAACGATAAAAGAAAATGAGGTTGATAATTTTCATTTATTATGCGATTAATTGATGGGTGAGGCTGAATTATACCTCCCCAATGGCAGCAGTCTGCACTGACTGTAACATAGCCAGTTACTTTAAATTGCAATGAGGTACGAGACAGGAGTGTCCACTCTCACCACTTCTATTTGTGCTAACGATAGAACCACAAGCTGTAGCATTACGGCCAAATTCCATCATTAAAGGATTAAAGGATCAATTAGGCACAGAGCACAAAGTTTCTTTATATGCCAATGACATGCTTTTGTAAATATCAGATTCTCTTACAAGCATTCCTGAGTTACTTGATTTGCTTCAAAAGTTCAGGAAAATGCATAACTATATTTTTTCCTCACCTTCTTTCTGTAGGTGAGAAAAAAGTCATTCTGGTTCTGATGCACCACACTCGAGACGTGCACTACTCAACTGCTGGGACAAAGTGGTCTGACATCTTTCCCAATGTCACTTTGGATGTTCACGTTCTCTACCATGAGAGTGTGTCAGGATTACTGATGTGTTCTCAAAACACAGACACAATTATTCAGCTACAAGCAGCATTAAACAATAATCATATTATTTGGAATTTCAGTGTAATATGGAAGATGTTAGTCTTTTTGGCAATTGTGATGGTTGTTTTATTACTGATTATTTATTTATCATAGCTTTACAAAAAGCAAAAAATAGTATGTGTGTGGGGGGGCAGAATAAAGATTAAATGATTTCAGAATGTCTTTATGTTTAGTTTCTCACAAAAGTCATGTACACAAAGTTTATTCTGTTTGTTCAAACTATAACCCACAACTTTATCGTAAAATTATAAATAACATAATAATAAAATAAGGGCAGCACAGTGGCATAGTTGGTAGAGCTGCCGCCTCTCAACAAGAGAGTTACCCTAGTTCAAATCCCGATCCAGGGGCCTTTCTGGGTGGAGTTTGCATGTTCTCTCCATGCTGCATAGGTTTTCTTCGGGTACTCCGGTTTCCTCCCACAGACCAAAAACATGCATGTTAGGCTGATTGGTGACTCTAAATTGTCCCTAGGTGTGAGTGAGAGAGTGAATGGTTGTTTGTCTGTATGTGTCCCTGTGATGGACTGGAGACCTGTCCAGGGTGTATAACTTTGTTTCAGAATAAATGGGAGAAATGATTTTTTTCTGAATCTAAATAAACTTGATCTTTCATCCATATTTTTATATACTTTTTATTTCTTGTATTTAATATATGCTTAATTTTTCAAAAATGGTTTGTTTCGGTGGCGCAACTGGTAGAGCTGCTGCCTCTCAGCGAGCAGGTCCTTGGTTCAAACCCCGGTCCAGGGGCCTTCTGGGTGGAGTTCACATGTTCTCTCCGTGCATGCGTGGGTTTTCTCCGGGTACTCCGGTTTCCTCCCACAGAACAAAAACATGCATGTTAGGTTGATTGGTAACTCTAAATTGTCCCTAGGTGAGTGAGAGAGTGAATGGTTGTTTGTCTCGTTTGTCTCTATGTGTCCCTGTGATGGACTGGAGACCCGTCCAGAGTGTCCCCCGCCCCTCGCACAGTGATTGCCGGACATGGGCACTGGCGACCCCCGTGACCCAAAATGGAATAAGTTTGTTTCAGTGCAATACTTTTATGAAACAACTCAGGTTAATCAGTGTCTGGGTGCACATTTAGAGTGCATATTGTGTGTTCATTAGTCTTCATCTGCTCACACAGACTCATGTTCATGCTGCTGTTCGTGCACTTTTACTATGAAACATTAGTTCAGGCGGTGCAGTTTCTCTCCTTCTTTGTGAACAAATCTATTCCACTTGATCAATAGGAGAATAGTCAAGCCACTAAAACTCCACTCCAGATTTTCCTGGTTACCTCCAACTCTTCGAGTCTCCTGCCTCGGCAGAAAACACACACAGGTGGAGGAGACGGAGACTCTGTGATGCTCGCTCGCCAGTTTAGCGAGCTTACTGCGGGCAGTTGTTGACCGGGGGGTTGATCATAAACATATACGTGGTTATGAGGATGCTTGAGAGAAGTGGAGTGCTACGTAGCATGTTAGCTTAGCAGTAACTGTGACGATGTAAGACGCAGCAAGTGTAAGAGACGCGGTGAGTTCAGGTGCATTAAAGTTGAAATATCTTTAAAACCCCACACCTTATTGTCCTCAAGCTTCATGAGAAAAATGATTTAGATGAGTAGTGTTGAACACAAGTAAAAATGTCTAGTGATGATTTTTATTTCTCTATAAACACAAATAGTGCATTAAAGTACATTAAAGTTTAAATGTCTTTAAAACCCACAGTTGAATTTACACAAATTTGGTGAGAAACGTGCTTTAAATGTCTGGAATTAAAGGAAATCTAGGTGAAATGTTGCTTTTTTGTACACTAGTGTACACTATTTTACACGCGCACACAAATGCATGCGCGCACTGAAGACAAACCGGTTTGATCAGTGAAGACAACCTTAAACCCACATGCAGCCAGAAGAAAAGGATCCAAAGACAACAAGCAGTGCACAGTGTGATAGAAAATCTAACCTAACAGGCGTGAATCGTGACAGATTCAACTGCTAAGAATTAAAATGGGTAAAACTAATTCTATCTGGGGAAAATTAGGGTAAACCTCATACACCTTTTCAAAAATCCATCATCGCACAACTAATGTACATCCACAAGCCATAACAAATGGATTCACATTAACTCAGTCTAAAACGTTCACATTCTGCTTTCTTCTCAACAACATCCTGAATCAAACCCACAGTCATTCTTCACAGGCGTGAGAATAATTCATATGTAACTTCAACATACGATGAAAACAAACATTTGAGAGAGGTTTCAAAGGATACTGAAGAATCATTGGCCTATATTAGTGATATTAGGTAGTTAGTGATTAGTTCTGCTATGCTGCATGTTCTACATCCTTAACCTGTTTGGTAAAACGGTAATCGCATGCATGGGGAAAGAGATCCTTCCCTTGGTTAACTCATCATTGTCAATACTGTACCCTGTGATGGACTTGCGACCCGTCCAGGGTGTACCCCGCCCCTCGCGTGATTGCCGGACATGGGCACAGGCAACCCCCGTGACCCAAAATGGAATAAGCGGGTAAAGATAATGGATGGATGGATGGAAAAAGTTTAAACCACTAAATTAGTTCAGGTTGTCCGTCACAGCTCCGGAGTCCTGTGCCTGTAAAGTGTAGGTTCCCCCTTTCAAATATAACATTTATAACAAATTTCTTCTGCATTTCTTTAATGTAGATGTCATATTCCATCGGAGACATGACAGATCATCAGAAGTCCATTAGAAGCAGATTTAACCTGTAAATGAATAATAATAAAAAGCCAGCACTATCTTTACCTGTATGAATCAAAACGAGTCTCATGTCTTACTAAATCTGTACAGAAAATGATGTTCGAACTAACCCAAACATTCAGACCAAGAGGTGGGTCCAACAGGAACCTTGTTGATCAATCATTATCTAGCAACCTGTTATGAGACACTTCTGTTGTAATAAAATAATCTTGTTAAATATGTAAGTGTTTGTAATTACTGTTTTCAGCTCTCATCATTTTTTGAACAGTTCAAACTTTAATCTAGTTTGTAATTTTGTTTTGTTTTAATACACCAAAATTATTTTCTGTTGTATTTTCCTCATTTCTCTCCCCCTTTTGGAAATAGGAGGCAATCACAAATCCTCCTGTTTCAAAAAATGTGAATGTTCATAAAATTAATGCTACAAAACCTAGCTGAAGTACACGAACCCTCTCCCAACTCCATCTGTCCATCACAAAGTACACAACCTACAGGCAAACTCAGGGATAAGGTGCAGCGTCACGTTATCCACAAATCTAACAACGCTAAAATATCATCCAGGCACGGACTAGTGTAGCTGTAAAAACTACATCACCCAACAAAAAAAAAAAAAAAACATTTAATATCCGACCTACATGTCTGAGTCCAAGTCAACCATAATCATTCACAGTAAATGTATCACAGAACAGTGAAGCCAAAATCACCTGTTGATGCTGTCAGTGCAGTCCTGTAAAGA